GGGGGGGGCAGGTGGGTGCGGTCATCTGGCTCGTGTTCATCCAGCCACGTTTGAACCCGTGTCTACGTGTCTAGAGGTGAGGAGGGAATTCCAACCATGCTGAAATGTGCACAGAAATACCCGCATTGCTGCGGTTCGATGAATTAACCAGAGCCTGCAGCGTTTTGTTTCCATGTTTCCCTCGAGAGCCGCACTGGTTTGGGAGCTGGAATTTCCAGGAGGGTTGGTGCTGCCGTCAGCTGCTCAACTTGCCCCTTGCACACCAAATCCCCTGGTGGTACCACCGCGAAGCGCGGAGGCTGCGGGAGCGAGGTGGGGCTGGCAGGTGGAAGGACGCGTTGGGAAACGCTCCCGTGTTCTCTGTAGAGGAGAACAGCCCCACCTCATCTCTCCCCATGTCTGGCCGCAGGTGGGTAGCTGCCTGCCTGGCTCTCGGTGTGTGTGGCCAGTGAAGTTTTCCCAACTACCCAGCTTCAGGAGCAAACACTAAGTTTTTCCAGATGCAGCCGTGGTGGGGCACGTGTGAAGTGCTGCTGGGTGGCTCCAGTTCCCCCTCTGCACATACACAAACCCACCGTGTGCCAGCAGCGCTTCCTGGGATGTGGTTTTAATTATGGGCAGGGATCTTTGCTGAGGGTCACAACCCAGACCAAAACCCACCACATTTGTGTGTGTGGTTTATCTCTGTTCCATACACCAGTGCCTCAGTTTCCCCACCACGACCGGGGCTGCAGCCCCAGCCTCACACGGTGACCCTGTACAACCCATGACTCTCCGGCCAGGGAGGAGAAAACAACCAAAGGTGGAAGTGCCCGAAGTCTGAGGTAACACTTGGTTATTTTCACCATGTAACTTGAGTTAATTAAACCACACAGACCTGCAGCCGAGCTGGTCACGGTGCTGCAGAACTTGGCCGGCAGCGTGCGCCCGTCCTGCCTGTGGGGGTTTTCCCCGTAAGATCCGTGTGTGTTTGTGCTGCTGAAATGCTCTGGCCCAGACCTCGTTCTTGATGGTGAAAAGAACTGAAAGGACAAATTGTCAACTCCTGCTGTGACTGCAACAACCATGTACCACCTGCTGTTTCCTTCCCAGAGTTTTAGGAGAAACTTTAAAATATAAACTGATTTCTCTGTGCCGTAGAGTTACATCGTTCGCTCTGTCTGGCTCAAGTGGGCTGTGCCCTCTTCCAGGAAAGGCAGAAAATATCTGTGTAAGCCAGGCATGATCTGGGGCTTCAAACAAACTTCAGAGCACTCAATATTTGTTCATCAAGTCATTAAATACAAGACACAAAGAAGGTTTTAATAACTAATCTTGAGACTTCAAATGAATTAAGAAGAAAAGTAAAACAGGGGGAACGCTGCAGCTTACAGTTACATCCGGACTACTTGGAACATCTTACCAGAAATTAACAGTGAAGCCAAAGATTTCATCACTGGTCTGAAAACACAGGGAATGGTTTTATTCTCCCTGTGCAGCTGGTGTTTTGGTTCCCTGGAAGGTGTTGAATGGATTTGGGGCAGGGGGTTGAGGGGGAGAAATCAGAGGTGGTGTATCTTCACACCTTTTCAGGAAATAAACTGCAGGACTTCAGCTTCCACTTAAAATCATTCATTTTTATTGAACTAGTTGTATTCTGCTGCTGCATAAATTTATCCTGAGGAATTTTATTTTTCTTTAGTAGAAGCATGTTCGTAAGATGACCTGACTGTACTTTCTTTGCCCATATTTTGTATAAAATACGATCCTTTAATCACTGATGGTCCATCATATATTTAAAAAAAATACCTAAATCTGCTGGAAAAAGAGAAAAGTACAAGTTGTGTGCAAATCTCCACCACAACCTGCTAGGAGAAGGCTTTGCAAGAGTAAAAACTCTGAAAAGGAAGCGAATCTCTGAGCCTGGCTGGCCGGGGTTAATGAGCTCCAGCACTTCGCTCTCTTGAGACCATCATATCCAGGCTGTGGGGTCACATCCTGCATTATGCCTTGGACAGAAAAGTGAAATTAATATTCTTAATATTCAGTTCAACCACTCTTGGGACAGAAAGCACAGTAAGAGTCAAGTCTATGTACACTTTGCTCTGCGACTTCATGAAGTAACAGGTTTAGATGCTTGAGTGTATGAAATAAAGGGAAAAGCACAGGAACCACAACAGAGCCCAGAGCACTTGTGTGGCATGCGAGAGGGTTCAGAAGGTGGTCAAGGGAGCAGAAAACGGTCACGGTGAGCGGAAGGTGGTCACAGGGAGCAGAAGACAGTCACAGGGAGCGGAAGGTAGTCATGGGGAGGAGAAGGTGGTCATGGGGAGAGGATGACCTGCCTCATGGGAAGGGGAAGCTCAGAGCTGCCAGTGTGAGACTGCACTCTGTGAGAAAGGCCAGCCTTGGGGAAGCTGATGGTGAATCCTGGGAGCTCCAGGGCTTCCCAGTGGCTGCACTGAGCAAAGTGAGGAGGAGAGCAGTCTGTATCTGCAGCTGCAATAAAAACCCAAGTACGCAACTGCTGCCAGGATTGCAAGCGTGTGACTTTATCTGAAACTGGGTAAAAGGCTTGGGGATGCTCTGCGTGCTGAAGGACTCTGGACATCCAGGGAGGTTGGGTGTCTGGCAAGGCTAATGAGCAAATGAAGCTTCCTCCAGAACAAAGCAGGTTTGGGGCATTTTTATTCT